ATATCACAACTATTGGTTTGTTGCAAACAGTCTAAAAAAAGTCATAGAAAAGCTGATGTTGTCGAACAACAAATTGAAAATTTGGATATAGTTTGCATGGGATATGCAAATTGGTGCGTCAATTTGCAACAAATTGAAGAAGGTGATATGATTTGCGAAAGTGAAAAAGTCGTGACTAAATTACAATTTTGGAAAAAAAATCATGATATTAAGGGCAGCCTTTACAAAAAAATAATTTTGCCTTTTGCTTTCATTTCTATTTATTTTGTATTTGCTTTCTCTTTCTTTTCCCCTTAGCAAAAGTTTTTTCACTATCTCTATTCTTTGTTTTCTCTCCAACTGAAGGCACATATATGTAGATACAAGCGTGCAATTGGTTGATGAGATTTTACTGTTGCAAAGTCAGCATACTGTTTCACATGTCAGGATACGTTTTCAAAATCAAAATGCAAGTCATGCAATTTCTTTACGCAATGTACATATTGGGACAATCAAGTGAGGAGAAATAATTCAAGTGGGGCTCACTCAATTTACTTTTTTTTACTGTTGCATTTTTGTGCTTGGTTTACCCTTCTTTTTCCCCCATTTTAGGTGTTTTATTTGGTTTTATTCTGTTTAATATTTTGTTAAGTGTTTTTTTTTTTAATCTTTATGTGTTTTTGTTTGTGTGTCGTTGTTTTCTTTGGGTTCTTGTTGTTTTTGTTGTGCAAGTCGAGAGATTCAGAAGGATTAAATTTAAATAATAAATGGGTTGTGCGAGCATAATTAATTAGAAGGGTTCGTTGGCGACGCGTAGAAAAAAGTTGAACTCAATTCTGAGTTCGGACGAGCTCAAAGGAGCCCGAAACGTAAAGTCGCGCAAGCATCCCAGGCCTACCGCACAGCAGCCCGGGCCTCGCCCCAACAGTCACTCGTACGCTCGCGTCGCCCTAGGTTGGTCGCCGTGACCTGCGATGCGTTCTGTGGCCGGAGCGCCTTATGTGCCTGCGCGCCCACGACCCTGCTTCTCTGCGACCTGCACGCCCGCGGCCCATGTGCGCCCACGGCCTTTGCGCCTGGGAGTGCACGGCCGCGTAGAGTGTGCGACTGAATTTTAAAATACTCGGTTTTTCTCATTTTTGCTCAATTTTTTAACCCCTATATATTGGAAATCGTGCCCAGACGTGTCTTTCAATTCCAAAAACTCGTTTTTCTTCATTCTTCTACCCTGAAACACCATCTTGCACTTTGATTTTCTTCTTGATTTTCTTCTCTATTTTCTCGGATTTAAGCTTGTTTATTGGATTCAACATTGGGACCTTTATCAATTGTAATATTTTCGTTTAATTGATGAATATGATTGATTTGGTCGAGATGATTGTTTATGTTGAATTAAATATAAGTGGCTAAATCCAACTGCTAGGAAATAAGGGATTATGTTTTGATCTTGTTTGTGATTATCGTAATTGTCGATTGTTCAATTTGTGCGAGTCGATCTTAACTAGGGTTTTTAATTTTCTTGTTTGAATTTTGAGAGTTGTTGAAGGGCGACACTTCAATCTCCAATTGATTTTCAATTGAATTTGATTCGTTCTTATGGGATTTTGTTCATTCTATTCGATTATTCGATTAATCACCGTTTAGTCTAATTTAATTGGCTCTTAAAACCGAAAGGGAGGAGTCGATCGATATAGGCTCGTATAAAATAGGCTTGTTCGTAACTGTATTGCTTATGTGTTAAATGACTCATTAATTTGACGTCCACGTTTGTTCTCTTGTTGGAAAGTTATTGAGAATGAATCTATGAACTAGTATATTATTCGAATCATTTAACCATTGACACATGTCCAAAATGCATTTATTGTAGGACACGTGTCAATACACTATTTGTGAATAACTGTGGATGGCTTCATAAGTCGAGTCATCTGATGGAAAAAACCGGGTTAAAATAACTGACTAACAATCTAGTCACAAGTTTACATTCAAATGTATGTAATAGTAATTGTACAATTACTTAAAACACCCATAGTTAAAACAAAATGTATTACTGAAACGTTTCATATTCATATCAAGACAGCGTTTGAAATGACTTATAATCCATTTTGTAAAAACATGAAACTTGTTAGAGTAGAAGTGTCCAACCCAATTTGTAACAACAACTTGAAAGTTGTTAGCATAAAAATATTGGATATAATACATCCTCTTATCAATATTATTTAAGAACACAATTTTGCAATGAAATTGTGTGCTTGAAAATCATGCACAATTTTGTCCAAGCACGCCTCTTACGATTGATAAAGGTCCCAATGTTGAATCCAGTAAACAAGCTTAAATCCGATAAATAGAGAAGAAAATCAAGAAGAAAATCAAAGTGCAAGATGGTGTTCCAGAGTGGAAGAATGTAGAAAATGAATTTTGGAATTGAAAAACATGTTTGGGCACAATTTCCAATATATACGACTTAAAAATTGAGCAAAAACGAGAAAAACCGAGTATTTTTAAAATCTGATCGCGCACCCTCCGCGGCCGCGCACTCCCAGGCACAGGGGCCCTAGGCGCACATGGGCGACGGGCGTGCAGGTCGCAGGGAAGCAGGGCCGCGGGCGCGAGATCCTTCTTGGCCACGGGCGCGCAGGCACAGAAGGCGCTCTGCGGCCACGGGATGCATCGCAGGTCGCGACAACCAACCTAGGGCAACGCGAGCGCACGAGTGACTGTTGGGGCGAGGTCTGGGCTGCTAGGCCGAGGCTACTTGCGCGACTTTACGTTTTGGGCTCGTTTGAGCTCGTCCGAACTTAGAATTGAGTTCAACTTTTTTCTATGCGTCGCCAACGAACCCTTCTAATTAATTATGCTCGCACAACCTATTTATTCTTGAAATTTAATCCTCCCGAATCTCTCAACTTGCACAACAATAACGACAAGAACCCGAAGAAAACAACGACACACAAACAAAAACACATAAAGATTAAAAAAAAAATCTAAACAAAACCACTTAACAAAGTACTAAACAAAATAAAAACCAAATAAAATACCTAAAATTGGGAAAAAAGAAGGATAAACCAAGCACAAAAAATGCAACATGAGATAAATATTATTATCGATCTTCTATTTAGTTTTCTTTTTATGGAATGAAGGACAAGGAGAATATGGAAGGATTAATGATGACACCGAGATTATGAGATAACTGTTCGGGTGAAGAAACACATGAGATAAATATTATTACCGATCTCCTCTTTAAAACTCCTCTCTCTCCTTTTAAATTGGTAACTTTATTATTTTATTTTCCTTCCATTATATATTACCAAATATTATTGATTTAGTTTAACTTAAATCCTACCTTATTTAATGATAAATTAAAAATACTATTTAAATTAAACAATACTTATAATAACAAGATATAAAATAAGGGGGTGCTACATACATATTTTTTCGAGCCTATTGCTCTTCTGGTTGTAATAATAATTGTAAATTGCTGCTAAACATCGCTCCTTTTTACTACCACACCCTAAACCGTTTTTCTTGATTGTTTTCCAAAACACTAAAAAAACAAAAAAAAAAAAAAAAAAAAAAAAAAAAAAAAAAATCGACCGGCCGACCTCGTGGACGACCGGTACCGCTGGCCGGCCAGATTTTTTTTTTTTTTCAAATCATATTTTTATTTGTTACAGAAATTCTGTTAAAATTTAGAAATTATTATGATATAAATTATAACTTAGAAATTAATATGTTGTAAATTATTTTATACATTATTCAAAATTTAATTAGTATTAGAAATTAATTTTTATTTCTGAAAAAAAGTAAGAAAAAAATGATTAAAGCCAAACCCTCGGTAGTCACTACTCTCAGTCTGACCCCTCCAAAGAAAAACCCTAACATCGCTACAATTTTCTCTCCTAAAAATGTCGAAAGCCCGTGAGCCCGAGAAACCCGTCTCCTCTGAAACCTCTACTGACGATAAGACTTTATAGTGACAGTGAGCTCCTTCCCCTTAACTTCCTCGACGGCCCTCTTCCTGGTAGATCTGGCTGGTAAAGCGGAGGCGATGACGGTGGCCTTTTCTGCCTTTCGCTTTGGATTTTTTTCTGGACATTTTGTGGGATTCGTATTCAGTTCCAGAATCATCGTCAGAAGATTCTGAGGAGACTTCTGGATCGGTTCAGGCTCAGATCTACCAGAAAAGAATACGGAGCGAAAGGCAAGGACAAGACTCTTCACCGGCAGATCTACCAGAAAGAGCGCCGTCGAGGAAGTATTATATGCCGGTGTCTCGTTTGCTGGACTAGGATACTGTGCCGATTGTTTGCTATGTCGGTGTCTCGTTTTTAAACTATTTTGCATGTATACGATTCCCATGGTTATTGTAGAAGTATTCATCCTGATCCTGTGTTAATGTTTCATTATCCATTGAACTGGAATCTATATGTTTACCTTTTTTTCTTCTTTATTTGAGTTATTAGTATAGTTCCATTATAAAGATCTAATCTTTTTGAAGTGGGTCAGGGGCTTGTTAAGGTTGCCTTGTCAATTTATTTTGATGATAAAATGTTCTCTATGTTTCAATCCTTTGCTCGTTGGTCGGATGTCCCGATGATACTAATTAGGAGTATGTTAGTTGTTCTGACTTTGGGTTGTAAGTTTGAAATTAGCGTAATTCGACTTCACGGTCTTAAAGTGCCTTTTATGTTTGCACCTGATCATGTTTATGTGACTTCTAAACTGATGAATGTTCCAACAATGTTGTTTCATGGGACTATGCTATTGTCATAGAAAGATTGATTCTACCATTGTTTTTCTCTTTGTGAAAATTGTTTTGGCAAAAAATGAGGCTACAGTTTTTCGTTTTTGGTTTAATAACTAATCTATCAACTTTTTTATTGTGCTTATCGACTACTTGTGATGGTGAGTTGTATGAATCAAGCATTTTTCCTACACCTCAAACATTTCAAGCATCTTATTTCATGTTACACGCTTGACCATGAAATGATTGTGTGTTTTTTACGACCCGTTGGAAGAAGGAAATGTTTAAGGTGCGGTGCTCAGATGGTTTTTCCGATAGTGATCCTTCCATGGTGAATTGCCCGTTTAAATTTATAATTTTTTCGTGAACTGATTAGTGACCGCGTACTTATGTGATGGTTTTCTTGTTCTTGATTTTAGACCTTTGTGTGTATCTCTGTTTTTGTCAATATATAAAAAAAAAATAGTTAGCAAAAAACGTTTCTTTTTATGTTCTTTAAGCTTTATATGAGATCTGCTAATGGTGTTTATAGTTAATCTTCTGGTTTTGTTATTGTAAATGGGATTGGGCTCCTTTTTTTTTTCTTTTTTTTTTTGGCTGAGAGCTGAA